GAGTCCTGGGGGTGGTTGTTCTGAGTGGGCACGAACTGGCTCACAAACAAAAGTTTATGATGAATTTTGCCCGGTCTGTGGTTTGCAAACTCAAGTTCATGGCAGGTCATGGCAGTCCATGCCGGTTTGCAATGAAGGTGCCAGTGGACTCTACACTTCTTCTACTGCTTCAGACCAACACGGCTTACCACCTGGGTACATTTCCAGACAGTCTCTGCTCAATCTAAATGTTTACCAAACTTGAAAGGAATGGGGGGGGGCAGAATTTGGAGGCCATGTACAGGAGTATCTGGGGGAAGTCCCCTGTGACTTTGATGTCTCTAAGTTGCACAGGATCCATTCTTTACACTCCTGAACCTCCTGAATCTGCATCTGTCAAAGTGACCACCTGTTATTTTCCCAGAAAGCATTTTCCTGGGGGCACCTTCTTTGGGGTGCTGCAGCTCGGACCCCATAAACCCAATCCTTATCAAATTTGGAGGAGAAGTAGAAAAGAGTCAGTTGAAGTGCCCCTGCAAGGTTGGTGACCTAGCACACTGGGCCCTCCTGTTCTACCAATTCATGAAATTCCTGAACTGAACCAGTTCATTTGGAGCTTAAAAGTATGTGGTGGTTCATGGTTTGCGAACCGGGCATGCCACAAACCATGAACTGAACCACATTTCCCCAGTTCATTTTATGTATAAATTATTTTAATACTATTTTGATTGTATAATTTAACTGCTGTACACCACCCTGAGCCCATTGGGGAGGGTAGTATATAAATCTAATAAAATAAAAAATAAAATAAAATCCCTACCTGGCTCCACCCTGAAATCTCCAGTTATTCCCCAACTCAGAGCTGGCAACCCTAGAAATGGCACTAAAGGTACAGGTTCCCTTGCTCGAAAGCCAGTCGAATCCGACTCTAGGGTTGCGGTGCTCATCTCCGTTTCAAAGCCGAAGAGCCAGCGCTGTCCGAAGACGTTTCCGTGGCCATGTGGCTGGCATGACTAAACACCAAGGCGCACAGAACGTTGTTACCTTCCCACCGAAGTGGTACCTATTTATCTACTTGCAATTTCTTGCTTTCGAACTGCTAGGTTGGCAGGAGCTGGAACTAGAGACGGGAGCTCACTCCGTCATGCGGCAATTCAGGTCTCGAACTGCTGAACTACTGACCTTCCACAGCCTGCAGTTCAGCGTCTTAACCACTTGAGCCACCGCAGCTCCAGAAATGGCACTACAAGATAATAATTATCTGTGGTTTTTGTTCTTTGCATAAGGGCACCTCTGGTGGTGAAACCGCATCCAGCGTGGTCGCAATGTTGAAGTAAGAGCAAGGAAACCCGGGTTCAAATCCCCACTCAGGAATCTCGTTAAATGACCCCACAGCCATACAGTCTCAGCCCAACATACCTCAAAGGGTTGTTAGGAGAATCAACATGAAAGTACCACTCATGTTACCCTAAGCTTCTAGGAGGAAGGGTGGCATGAAAATGTTATAAATATAGAGATAAACAAGAAGGAGGACCCGTGATACTCGCAGGGGGGGAGCTCCATGCGGAGGAGGAGGAGGAGGAGGAAGCAGCCACAGGTAAGCCTCCCCCCTTCCCCTGCCACCAATGGCGAGGCCCATGCAGCTCCTGTTGGGCCCACCAAGCCTTTCCCCCTCCCTGTCAGGGTTCGATAGTCAGATCACACCACACAGTGCTTCATAAGAAGAATTCCCACACACCCCTGGCACCAATGACGAGGCCCATGCAGCTTCCAGCCATAGGGCCCATCAAGCTTTCTCCCTCCCCCCTGTGGCGGCGAGGCCTGAATGGCTGGCTGGCCCAACCGGCAAGCCTTCTCCCCCCTCCTCTCCCCTCCAGTGGCAGTGCCTTCCCCTTCCACCGGCCCTCCAAGGTTTCTTCCCCCCACCACTGCAGCCACCAGGAGCAACGGTGGTGAGCCCTGTGAGGCTCCCAGCTGCCGGGCTTGACAGCAACAACGTCTGTGGCTCTAGCCACTGGCCCTCCAAGGCTTCTCCCGTTCCCCCTGCTGCCGCCGCTGCCAGCAGCAACAGTGGCAAGCCCTGCGTGGCTCCTAGCTGCTGGACCGGCCAGGCCAGGCCAGGCTCCCCACCCCCCAGCAATGGCCCCGGCTCCAAGCTACAGTGCGCCAAAGCTTTTCCCCCATGCGCTGCTGCCACCACCAGCAGCAATGGCTCTGCAACAGTGTCTAGTGGTAAGTGCGTTCCCTGCGCACATGCAGGGAACACTCCTTTACTTTTGGGGGGATTTAAGTATCCCCCCTATATTTTTTCAACTTTTCAGATTTTTCTGTACATCTGGGGATTGCCCCAAATGTTCAGGAAAATCTCCCTGCCCCCCAGGTGCCCCCGATGTGCGGGTTTAGATATCCGCACACAAGGGGCACCTTGGCTATTAGCTATATAGATGGAGAAGCAATTATTGGGGTCTGTAGTTCATATGAGCCACTTGATCGAATCACTTAACAATGTGTTTATCCGAACTCAAAGCTGCAGGAGACTATCAGGGAAATATCACCTTGGGGGCAGGGAACGCAGTGGTCCGCCTCTTTCGAGATGTTTTTCTTTAGAGAAAAAAATGTTCCGCTGAGCATCAGAGCATGCTTCCTCCCTGAATCACCAAATCTGTTTCTGCACCCTGGCGGAAATGAGTCGAATGTCACATGGCATCACCCCAGTGCAACTGGCATAATGGTTCATAATACCCACCTAATGGTGAAAGGCTCAAAGTCCGTTTAATGTGTATAAGAGGCTGAAGGAATCAAAGACAGTAATTTATGAAGCTGGATGAAGAGAAGATGAGGTATCAGGCTCTGGAGTAATTCACACATGTGGAAGAAATGAGGTCTGGCGATGAAGAGTAGGAGTAGGTAATAGGTTGTAGGCTTGGAGCATGAAACTGGGAACCATAAATCCTGACTGTGGGGAAGACAGAAGAGTCTTTTGGATGAAATGGCAGTGAGGAGCAATGTTCCCTCTAAGCTGTGTAGTCTTGTGAGCAAAAAATCTATTATGTGAGCTACTGGCATTAAAGTTGTGAGCGAGCAATTTAGCTGCTGCATAAATTAGTTTGCTCTGGAGCAGTGTTCCCTCTAAGTCGAGTTCGTGTGAGCTGGTTCACAGTTTTTTTAGCCCCTGGCTCACAGATTTTTGTCTTAGCTCAGGAAGGAGAGCTCCAGAACAAACTGATTTAGGCAGTAGCCAAATCACCAGCTCACAACTTTAATGCCAGGACCTCACAAAGTAGAATTTTTGCTCACAAGACTTCCCAACTTAGAGGGAGCATTGCTCTGGAGCCATCCATCCTGAGCTAAGACAAAAATGTGTGAGCTGGAGGCTAAAAAACTGTGAGCTAGCTCACACTAACTCAGCTTAGAGGAAACACTGGTGAGGAGTCTGGGGTTAAAAATTTTGTTTCAGTCTTTTGCTACCACAAGACAAAGTGATCCACCACTAAGGTTACTTTATAAAAGGGAAGAAGACCGATTTATTGGAAATGAAGACTGCTATCTTCTGCATTGGAAATGAAGACTGCAAGAACCCTACTTTCTAGGGAGTAAGCCCCTTGACTTGAGTAGGATTCTGATCAGACCTGCTTCTTGCTTGAGCTCCAAACCTATCAGTGACCTTAGCCATGGTTGCTAAATGGAACCTCCAGGTTCAGAAGCAGTCTATCTGTAACATCACATGCTTATGGAGGGGAAACCAGAAACAATGGAATTTGCCTTCCTGCCTTGATTTGGGCTTTGCTGAGGCATTTTAGTTAGACAATGCAGGAAACAAGCTACTACACTAGACGGACATTTGGTCTAATACAGAAGGACTGTTCTTAGGTTTTTGGTGTAGGTTACTGATACTATTTGTGTTTTAGCCAGGGTCTGACTGAACACCCCATTTCCCCCCCCCTTTCAGTGCAGGAGACTGAAAAAAAATAAAGATTAATAAAGGATTGCCCATGCTCTTCATAAAGTTGGCATTTTATCAAGGCTCTTTGCATATTTTTCCCCCTCCAGAACTGTAAGGACTTGACACTTGCTTTAAGCCAAATAAACATACAACAAGTACCGTGCACAGATGATTATAACATATCATAAATAATTTTATATTTTTTACAATAATTTCTACATATATAATTACTTATCTTAATCACAATTCACAATATAAGAGATATCAAAAATATCAAATATCATCTCCAAGAATCTCAAAAGCTATAGTACAATTTTATAATTAATAATAGTCCTCCTCTGTTAAATAAAAGTTTCAAAAGGGAGGACTCCTTAAAGTCTCTTTATAACATGTGCTCTGTCTTCCTCCTCCTCCAACAAAGGTCCAGATAGCCTTCTGTTTCAGAATCTTCCTCAGGGAGCCAAATGAAGACAGACTCAGGTGGGGAGCCGTGTTGGTCTGAAGCAACAGAACAAAGTCTGAGACCAGCGGCACCTTTAAGACTGACAAAGTTGAATTCTGGGTATAAACTTTCGTGTGCCTGAACTTTGTTGGTCTTAAAGGTGTCACCGGACTCAGACTTTGTTCTTAAGCCAAATGGTAGCTGACAGATTCTTCAGTTGTTGAATTCTGTAGGAGAAAGCAAAAGCCAAACGAGGCCAGGGACGTCCGGCACGGTTGATAGCTCCCAAGCTTCCCCTCAAAACTTAGTCAAGCCGAAACCTTCCATTCCTGTTTCCTGGTCACTTACTTCTTCCTCATTTCTGTTCCCAGGTTAATTCAAGTGTATTCAGAAGTCTGCTGGGCCGTTAACAACTTCTGCTTTTGCCCGGCTTTCCTGGAGTTTATGGCTTTATTGCTGCTGCTCATGGTCACCCCCACTGAACAATCTCTCATGGTCCATTTCACGTCCAGAGCCGCCTGGCTCTCCGCGCCAGTTGCGTCTGTTGCTCAGACAAGTGACACCGACCCAGGGACATTCCCAGCATCAGATGGAGGATGGATAGGGGGGGAAAGGTAAGCATCTGATCCTGGTGCGATGGAAGCCTGGGATGTCATCTCTCTGGCTGTCTATGGGGCTACCATCCTGCTAGGGCTGCCCTCCAATGCCCTGGCCCTCTACGTCTTCTATTGCCAAGCCAAGACGCGCCTGACCCCCAACCTCATCTATATGATTAATCTCTGCCTCTCCGACTTGGTCTTCGTCCTCATCTTGCCGCTGAAGATGCTGGAGATGGGGAAGGCGGAGTGGCCCATGCCGAGCTTCCTGTGTCCTCTCTACAACCTCATCCACTTCGGCACCATCTACACCAGCGCCTGCTTTCTGACCGCTGTCGGCGTAGGCCGTTACCTGGCTGCTGTTTATCCCATCCACTATCAGGTTTACAAGAAGGCTTGTTACTCGTGCCTGGTCTCGCTGGGCATATGGTTCCTGGTTGGATCCCATGGGCTTCTCATCTTTGCCCTCGAGACCGCCCGAGACATCAACTCCACCCTGTTTGCAGGCAACGACACCTCTTGCTTCAGTGAACTTAGTGAAGCCCAGGTGGCTTTGCTGGCCCCAGTGCGGCTGGAGCTGTCCGTGGTACTGTTCTTCCTGCCCTTGGCCATCACCTCTTTCTGCTACGTTCGCTGCATCCGTGTCTTGGTTGGGTCGCATCTTAACAAAAGGAAGAAGCAGCGTGCGGTGAGGGTAGCGGTAGCCACTCTCACGGTCTTCATTCTCTGTTTCGGCCCTTACAACATATCCCATGTGGTGGGCTTCATCCAAAGGGAAGACATTTGGTGGCGCAATGTGGCCGTGCTCCCCAGTGCATGCAATGCTTTTCTGGACCCTCTAATCTTCTATTTCCTCTCGTCTGCCATGGATGATGGGATCACTCAGGTGTGGCTTTCCTTGAGACAGAAATACAGCTCCATCAGACTGAAGATCACCTTAGCCCATGGCAAAGCAAGGAGTCAACAGCCGGCCTCTGGTGTTGCCTGAATGACTGAGATGTCTTCTTCTTCATTGTGCTCATGGCGGCCACCAAAAACTGTGTAGCGAAGCAGATGGCAGTCTCAGGATGATGACAATTTGGAAAGGTTTCTCAGCATCTGTGATGAAAATGAGATGTGCTGAATATGTGCTGGTGGACCTCCTGATGGCACCTGGGTTTTGGCCACTGTGTGGCACAGAGTGTTGGACGGGGTGGGCCACTGGCCTGCTCCAACGTGGCTGCTCTTGTGTTCCTGTGACACATCTGAAGGTCATCTCAAGTATCTATTGGGGTGGTGGTGGTCTGGGCCAAAGAAATTAGACCTCTGACTTTTCTTGGTTATGGAGAACTGTCCAAGGGGTCTGAGAAAGATTAAATACAGGTGGGACAATTTGGGATGTTTTGTGAATATGAAGATGCTAATCATGGATGCTGGTGGATCAGGGGCAGGGGGACAACGGTAATCTTGAGCGGCAAAGTGAATTGACCGATGAGGGATAAACTACATGTCACATGGGACAGCCATGATTGATCTTCCCGTCTTTACTTTAAAGCTGTGGCAGGAGCATTCCGAATCTGACTGGAGCAGTGCAGGGGGAATCTAACCCTCCCCCAATGTCATTTTCTGGATCTAAGTTTCGAAGGGCAGCTGTGCTGGTCTGCAGAAGAAGAGCGAGATTTTCGGGGTACGAGCTTTTGCGAGTCATTGCTCCCTTTTATTAGATACAAATATCTGCATCTGAAGAAGAGGGCTTTAGCTCCCAGAAGCCCATACCCTCAAAATTTAGTTGGTCTCTAAGGTGCTACTGGACTCACATCCAGATGTTTCCTGATCTAAATTACCCCTCATTTGAAGCTGTTGCTTTAATTTGGGGCTAACAGCAGCTTTAGGGGCAATTTAGATTCAGGAAATGGTGACAGGGCAAAAGAAGTCATCCCCCCCCCCCCCAGAATGACTGCTCCAATCAATTGCTGCAGCCATAAAAAGACTCAGGAGATTCCCATGTAATGTATAGTTTGTAATTTTTAAAAATCATATGGCAGTGTGTGTAGTGTAGTCAGGAGATCCTAAGGTTGTCTGGCAGCCAGAAGTTCTAGCTCTTTTAGCGTTATGCACCACTAGGTGGTGGGCTAGACTTGTTTTTAAGGCATGAGATGTATCAGAGGTGGGTTGCCATTGCCTGTCTCTGCATCATACCCCTGGCATTCCTTGGAGGTTGCCCATCCAAATACTAGCCAGGGCGGACCCTGCTTAGCTTTCAAGATCCAACAAGATCAGGCTAGCCTGGGCTATCCAGGTGACCACTATATTTTGTAATGTTTGTACACCATAGTGTGTAGGGTTGCCAGCTTTGGGTTGGGAAATACCTGGAGATTTGGGGGGTGGAACCTGGGGAGGGCGTGGTTTGGGTAAGGAGGGACCTCAGCAGGGTACCATGCCATAGACTCCACCCTCCAAAGAAGCCATTTTCTCCAGGGGTACTGATCTTGGTTGTCTGGTGATCAATTGTAACAGCAGGAGATCTCCAGGTGCCACCTGGAGGGTGGCAACCATAATTGTGTGTGGGAGGAAGACCTCTCCAATCATGTTTTAGACTATTCAGGAAAGCTATACAAGCAAACAACCCAGGAAGCATTTTGATTATAGTATTAATTAGGTTGAAAATGTTTCCGGAGTAACCTGGTGGGAGTTATTGATTCCAGAGGAAACTAGTAACCAAACTCTCCATGGACATCACAGAGATGTATGGAAAAGGCTAAAATGAATCACCTTTGGTCATTCTTCAAAGGGAGAAGAAGATTTAGAAGTCTTGGACTAGGACTAAGACTCTGCTCCTGGTTCTCTAGTTTTAAAACTCACAGGTTTCAGGCGAATTTCTCTAGATGTTCTAGAACCCCCAACAAGGGAGATGTTTGATTCTTGTTTCATCCATTCATTCAGTGTCCTCTTCATATGGAAAAAGATGCTTAGTTCCCACAAGCACTATGAATACGCTACCAGCTTTTCACAATGCCGTGGAAACATTTTGCACAGGAGGCACAGCTCAACTGTATGCTTTGAGTCTTTTATCAGAAACTGATTGATTGGTGGCATGTCAGTGATCTCAATGCCGTCTTTTGCAGAATTGTTTGAAAAAAAATTGGCACCGTTTCCCCAAGTTTCAACATTTGTCTTAGTTAAGCAAATAGTTATAAATGTAGATTTCTTTATTGTTTCAAATGCCCAATGCTTGTCTTCTTCCTGAGTTCCCTTGAATAAAAGTTTTATTTTGGATTTTAAAAGGTGGGGGGGTGGGTGGGGGTGAAAAGCTCTTCCTCAGAGGATCTGAATCATTGTCATGTGAGTTGTTTACAGTGCCATCCTAAGCAGAATTACCCCCTTCTAAGCCCTTTGAAGCTGAGACCAGCATCACTAAAAGACAAGAAACAGAGATCTGTCAATAGTCACCGACTGACATTGGAACTAGATTGAAAAGGTGGATTGATCACCGGTCCCGATGGAACCAGTGAAGATACAATGCTGATATAGACAGCAACATCTCAGCACTGGATGATAGACTATCCTGTGAGATTTCTTCACTCTAGAAAATAGGCTGCAGAGAATAATCTTGCCCCGGACACAGACAATGCACAGCTCAGACGATTTCATTATCAGCATTACCATTACCACTGATACTGGGCATTGTGTAGCTGCTGAGCTATGAATCACAGAATCCTTTGTTTGAATCTCACCTGTGCCGCTAGGTGGCATTCGATATGCCCCACTCTCTCACTCCGTTATCTGTAGTATGAGCACAATGACAATGGTCTCTAACCTAACAGAATTGTTGCAAGGATTATGCTGAAGTATGCGCTCTTGGAAGTGCTGTATAATTGCTAACTAATCTGTGATAAAGTAGTCATTGCAGACAGGCAATGCTTATTTATAGTTGTCGAAATATACAGAGGAAAATCCTGCCATGGGGTGATGTAGCTGTTTGGATAGACTCCCGAGTTTTGTGACATTGCTGAAGTGAGAAAAGGCTACAGGAGATGATTGTGAACACTGTCTGATCTTCCTCTGCCTATGCCCTTGCTGATCCTAAAGACACTGGGCCAGACCTCAGTGCACATTTAGCACCTGAGGTTCCATCTTGGTGCATGGGTAAAGTGCCGTTGAGTTGCACCCAACTTATGGTGACCCCATAGGGTTATCAGGGCAAGCGATGACAGAGGTGATTTGCTGTTGTCTGCCTCTGTGCAGCAACCCTGGGCTTCCTTGGTGGTCTTCCATCCAAGTACTCACCAGGGCTAACCCTCCTTAGCAACTGAGCTCTGATGAGATCAGGCTAGCCTGGGCATCGAGGTCAGTGTGTTACTTCTTTAAAGGTAAAGGTAAAGGTTCCCTTGCTCGAAAGCCAGTCAAATCCGACTCTAGGGTTGCGGTGCTCATCTCCGTTTCAAAGCCGAAGAACCAGCACTGTCCGAAGATGTTTCCGTGGCCATGTGGCCGGCATGACTAAACTCCAAGGCACACGGAACACTGTTACCTTCCCACCGAAGTGGTACCTATTTATCTACTTGCAATTTCTTGCTTTCGAACTGCTAGGTTGGCAGGAGCTGGAACTAGAGACGGGAGCTCACTCTGTCATGCGGCACCCGGGTCTCGAATTGCTGAACTACTGACCTTCCACAGCCTGCAGTTCAGCGTCTTAACCACTTGAGCCACCGCAGCTTCTTTACTTCTTTAGCTAATGATAATTTCAGAGGGGAAGCCGTGTGGGTCTGTTCCAGCTTTGATTCTCAAAAGCTTAAACCCTGAAATTCTTCTTGGTCTCTAAGGTGCCACCAGACTCAAATATAACTGTTGCAGCCAAGTTAAGCTGAAGTCCGCTTGCCCGTTAAAGACCAACAAAATTTATTCCAACTCAAGCTTTTGTGAGTCAGAGCTTCCTTCTTCAGAGGCGTGAAATGTCCGTCCAGAGCAGCTATGTTAAGCTATACATTTAAAGTATAAATATCATTGCTAACAATGTGTTTGGTTTATCTTTGCTGTTCTGTTTGTGGTAAAGCTGGGCTGGTGTTGTAATTTTGTGTTCATTTTCCAAAGACTGTGTATGGTGACTGTATAATGTATTGTTGGCCTCTTTAGGAATTTTTAATGTGAAAGCAGGATAGTAATACTAATATTAAAATTACAAATACTTGTACTAATAATTTTGATGTCTGTGGCAGGAAGACATAATCACATGACAAACACAAGTAGCTCCACTTGTTCTTCTAGAATTATACTCAAAATGGGTACCTTAAATGTTGGGCTTGTAGCTTTTTTTGCATTTTTGCGCGTGCATGTGTGCGTGCACGCGCATGTGTGTGTGCCCATGGCAATCACTGACAACTCCTACTGGGGCACGGAGGACATTCAGAGATGTGGCTTAATTGCCTGCCTCTGCCTCCTGGCTCTGGTATTCTTTGGAGGTCTCCCATCCAAATCCTTGCCACAGTTGGCCCTGTTTAGCTTCCAAGATCTGATAAGACCAGGCTTGCCTGGGCTATCCAGGACAGGGTGGCTTGTAGCTTATTTTAAGGGCCTCTCCTCCCATAGGCTACAATCCCAAGCACACTTATGGGGGAGTAAGTCCCATTGACCTCAATGGAACACTTCTGGAGAGTCATGCTGAGGAGTAACCATCTTCAGGTACTTGAAGGGCTATCATATAGAGGATGGTGTGGAATTGTTTTCTGTTGCCCCAGAAGGTCAGACCAGAACTACCAGGTTGAAATTAAATCAGAAGAGTTTTTGGCTAAACATTAGGAAGAACGTGCTGACAGAGTGGTTCCTCAGTGGAACAGGTTTCCTCGGGAGGTGGTGGGTTCTCCTTCTTTGGAGGTTTTCAAACAGAGGCTAGATGGCCATCTGACAGCAATGCTGATTCTGTGAACTTAGGCAGATCATGAGAGGGAGGGCAGGAAGGGTTGCATCAGTGCTTAGTTCTTGTGGCCCTTTCTTACATGCCCAGGGAAATGCTGATCACCATGTTGGGGTCAGGAAGCAATTTTTCTCCAGGCCAGTTTGGCTGGAGATCCTGGAGGGTTTTTTTTGGGATCTTCTGGGCATGGAACAGCAGTCAGCAGAGGGGTGTGTGTGTGGGGGGAGGTATTTGTGAATTTCCTGCATTGTTCAGGGGGTTGGACTAGATGACCCTGGAGGTCCCTTCTAACTTTATGGTTCTATGATTACATGGAAAATTATTGATCCAATTAAGGGAATTTCTAGAGATAAATTCTCTCTCTTTCCAAGGGTTGTTCTTTTATACAATGTGCACAGGAAAGGAGCTAAGCTATGATTAGCCATTTGCTAATCAATTTCAAAACAAACAAACAAATAAACACTCCCCCAATGAACCCCCCCCCAAAGCCAAAGCAAACCAAAATAAAACTCACAGTTCTTATGCCATACTGGATTAAAACCCCAAAAGGTTGTGTTGACAGAATGGTGACTTCAAAGACACAGTAAACAACTAATTTAAAGGATCACAGCCAGTGTTCCCTCTAAGCTGAGTTAGTGTGAGCTAGCTCACAGTTTTTTAGCCCCCGGCTCACACATTTTTCTCTTAGCTCAGGAAGGGTGGCTCCAGAGCAAACTAATCTATGCAGTAGCCAAATCGCTTGCTCACAACTTTAATGCCAGTAGCTCACAAAGTAGAAGATTTGCTCACAAGACTCCACAGCTTAGAGGGAACATTGAATTCACAGCCATACATAGTGAGGAGACCCAGATGCTATGCATGTATTTGTTGACAGATGGCAGTGTTTCACCAATCGTACGAAACTGAACTACAAGAGCAGAGAGTCAGGTGGGTAGCTGAAAAGTACTGGGTTCGCCCCATGGAGGACTCAGACGACGACATGCTCTGCACACGTTTATTGTACTTAACCCAAGACTAAGACTGACTCTAACGGCCTGACAGGGCCAACTATATACATATCCACCCAGCACCCCCCGTTCCCATTGGAGGGTTTGAATGTCCTGCCAAAGTGGCTATTGGTTGGGGCTGGGGGATCCAGGATCCGAAGTTTCCATTGTTCTAGGATCCAAGCTCTTGCCTGTGCCGCGGACCCCTGGTGGTGGTCTGCGTACATAACAGTAGCCATGTTGGTCTGAAGCAGCAGAACAAAGTCTGAGTCCGGTGGCACCTTTCAGACCAACAAGATTGTACTCAAGCTATGAGCTTTTGTGTGAATGCACACTTCAGTGCATTCACAAGAAAGCTTCTACCCTGAATAAAACTTTGTTGGTCTTAAAGCTGCCCCCGGACTCAGCCTTTGTCATAAAAGCAGAGCTGTGTGCTAGAAGGATGCATTGCAAAAATTGCTGTTTTAATTTTGGGTTTGGGTTTTTTTACGGGCATGCTTCTTCTTTGCTTTTTGTTATGCCAGAATGTCAAAGGGTTTGCTTTCACTTTTACAAATGTTTTTGAGCACAATATTTGGGTTCAGGAATTTTGGCTGCTGAAAAACACACCCTGTACAGAAACCCTAACCTGAAATATAAAAGGTAATCCTCCCATAACTCTGTATAGTTTTAAAAACAGAAACGATGCAAAGGTGAACTGTTCAAAACGTCTTTTACACAGGCAATAAGAGTTGCCCGGTACTAAATTCATTAAGGTACTTGGAAAAATTGTTAGGGTCTGCAGTCTATACTAATATGTGTAGCTTGCTGAAATTAGGGAGTCTGCTATGGAATTTCGCATCATTCAATGGGTCATGTTAATACTTATGCTTTGCCGAGTTCTGTTTTTTAGACAGCTGGTTGGTTCTACAACCCTAATCCTATTGCATTGTTTAATGAATGTCCCATCCGTTGATTGTTCTGAATCACTCCGTGTAATCTGCCTTGAATCCAAGTGAAAAGAGGCAGACTACAAATGCAATGTATAAAAATTTAAAAAGGGAAAGATGGCATGATTCAGTAGGTCTCCAGGGCTGCATTGCAGCAGCTGGCCCTTCCTTGTGTGGGAGAGAACCTTCTTGGGCCCTAAAAGCCAAAGAATGGCTGCTAGGTTAGCACATTGGCCTGAACAGTCAGCCCTCTTGGGAGGTCTGAAGCCAGCAGCCAATCATCGCCCTCCTTACCATTCCTTCAACCACACTCAAGAGCAAATTCTAGCACATCCCTGGGTGCCACTTCCAAATTCATTTTGCAGCGCGTGCAGCTAGCCTAAAAACACGCCACTGGAACAAAAAAGCTGTTGTGAGCAGTGTTCCCTCTAAGCTGAGTTAGTGTGAGCTAGCTCACAGTTTTTTAGCCTCCAGCTCACACATTTTTGTCTCAGCTTAGAAAGGAGGGCTCCAGAGCAAACTAATTGATGCAGTAGCCAAATCGCTCGCTCACAACTTGAAAGCCAGTAGCTCACAAAGTAGGATTTTTGATCACAAGACTCTGCAGCTTATAGGGAGCATTGGTTGTGAGCTGTGTACCTGATGCAAGTCAAGTAAAAGAATTCAAAAAAAAATTGGGGGGTGGGAGAATGAGAGAGAACAGTTAAATGCAGAAAAAGAGGCAACCAATAAGGGAGCATTGGTTGTGAGCTGTGTACCTGATGCAAGTCAAGTAAAAGAATTCAACAAAAAATTGGGGAGTGGGAGAATGAGAGAGAACAGTTAAATGCAGAAAAAGAGGCAACCAATAAGGAGTGAGACACATACACCAGGTACAACTCTCAAGTTTGGTGTGGCCGTTGGGAATGAACTCATAGGGGGATTTCCCCCCCCGGGGGGGGGGGCTGCTATAGTACTGCAATGCTTCAGTGCATGTGCAAAGCAAGCCAGAAAAAGTGGGACACAAAAATACAATATGAATGTGAACAGATGGAACAAATGAAAAAAAACGAAGAAAATATGTAAATGTGTAATGATGGCACTGATAGCAGGCTTATCGAAACCACCACAATATAAATTTAGTGTTAATTCCAGAAACTATTTTGTTGAATATAATTCTGGATGGTTATGAGCAAAATGATGTATATATGCTGATTTATATTCTAACGTCTGCTAGAATTTTACTGACTAAATATTGGAAGACTGACAGAACCCCCTCAAGAGAGGAGAGAGCTCAGAAATTGTTGGAACTGGCAGAAATGGATAGATTGAACATGTTATTATTAGGAAAAGATGAAGCACTATATCTAAAATGATGGTCTAGAGTGTACAAATGGTTGGATAACAAATCAGACAAATAGACACAAAATTGTAAAATAATGTATTTACTATATACTATATACAATGTAAAAATCATAAATAAAACTTAAAAACAAAAACAAAAACCCACCACAACACCATAGTTGGAATAGATTCAAAATATTCTTATTTTCATTTAACTGTTCCTTGTATTTCTGAAAAGTACGCAGACGGAGAGTGATTTCAGCAAAGCATACTTTATTCGAACAGGAACAAGACAACTTTGGCCGGCTCGCAGGCCGGCTTATATCCTTGAGAAACCGTCACCCAAAACACACACCCTACTTCCCAATAGGTTATTTACAGTGGCCGAGAGTACTATAGGCTCTCGACCGGGAATCTAGCCCCCTGATTGGAGCGGGCTAGGATCCGCACAGTCCATTGTCTCTTGGAGCAAAGCTCGACGTTTGTCTCTGGACTTGTCTGGACTTGATACATTACAATTTCCTTGTCCATGATGCTATAATCTTAATTGCTATGCTAAAATGGTAAAAGGGGAGTTGAGAAATGAAGCATCTTGGAGTAGATTTTATTTCCTTGTAATGTACTATATCGAATATGAATGTCCTTGATTAATGTAAATTTTCCTATATAATTATTTTTGTTTCTATTCTGTAAAGTAGTGGGTTCCAGAGGCTACTGTGATTTCAGCACAGCTCTTTATTCAGTAACACAACAACAACACAAATGGTGAGCCGTAACTATATACAGAAACCCCAGCACAAAACACACCCACAAAATACAAATTGACCAATAGGAACGTAGTAGCTCGGAGCCTTCATTTGCATGGCATCATTTACACTCCTGTTACTTGATTGGTCAGCTCTGCAAGGGTGGCCAATCCGAATGCAGCTGCGAGGAGCCTCTCATACAAAAAAGATGAATGATTGTTCATCTGAAGCTCTCACTACACAACAAATTCCCTATGTATCCCATTTTTTATGTACCCCTATTAATTCTTAAAATAAAAAATATATATCTGGGGGGGGGGGAAAAACCACCACAACACCGATGAAAACCTTGCAGGTGGCAACAGCCTGGGAAATGCCTACCTTATCACATTTTCATGGCTGTAGATCAAGTCGCTCTTCAGTGCATTGGCATAGGGCCTGGAGAATAAAACTGGCAGCCCTAACTTTTGCTGTATTATGTAGTCTGTGCCAAGAAGAAGAGGAGGAGGAGGAGGAGATTGGGTTTATACTCCACCCTTCACTACCCAAAGGAGTCTCACAGCGGCTTACAATCCCTTTCCCTTCCCCTCCCCACAACAGACACCCTGTGAGGCTGAGAGCTTTCAAGAACTGCTCCTGAGAGAAGAGCTCTGAAAGAATTTGTGACTGACCCATGGTCACACCAGCAGCTGCATGTGGAGGAGTGGGGGATCAGACCCGGTTCTCCCAGATTAGAGTCTGCGCTCCTAACCACTCCACCAAACTGTCTCTCGAGAGTTCACATTTAAAATGCCGAGCAAAAGGTTTCACATTGATCATACAAAAATGAATTTTGAATCAGGGAACCAAATCCAACATTTTGCAGCAGGTGGAATTAGATGAGTCACCACATCTTAAATCATTGTGAACTTTGCTTTCGACACTGAGTTAGAGCCAGGATGCAGAGCTTTCCTAATGCGCTGTGCGTGGTGCTTGCTGTGGATTGCCCTCAGCTCTGACCGAATGAGTCTTTGCAGGTTGGTCCAAGAAGACTTCTGTCTGGGCATCATCTCCTTTGAGTCCACTCTGGAGATGTGAACTAGAGAACCGGCCAGCATCTGCTCCTTCATCACCATCATCATCTGTAGGGTGTTTAAAGCAGGGCATTACAGCCTGGAGCTTGTGACACACGCTGCCCCAACAGTCGCTCAAGGTCTGTCGGATGGCCTTGGAAGAGAAGAAGAAGATGAAAGGATCCATAGAGGTATTGAGGGTGCTGAGGAGGAAACCTTCCACTCTCCACGGTGGACTCTGGTTCTGGATGAACCCCACAATATGGGAAATGTTGTACGGAGCAAAACAGATGGTGAAATTGAGCAATGTCGCCACAGCCAGGCCCATGGCCCGTCGCTTCCTGCCAGCCTGCACGTTGGAAAGGGAATTCAGGATGCGGATAATGTTCACGTAGCAGAAGAGGGTGATGATGAAAGGGAGGCAGAAGAAGACGAGGCACAGTTCCAGACGGAGAGAGAAGATCACACGGAACTGCTCGGGGGAGAAATTCTCATAGCAACGGGAGCTGTTAGGAGGGAATGGAAGGTTCTCGTTGGAACCTCCGTATCTGACAATGTAGATAATGCTGCAGTGGAAGCCCCCCAACAACCAGAGCATGATGCTGGTCACCAGAGCATAGACAGGCCTGCGATGCAACTTGTATTTGATGGGATATGCAACACCCAGGTAGCGGTCCACGCTGATTGACGTGAGTGAAAGGATGCTGAGGTACATGCTTCCGTAGAAGCAGCAGCTGGTGAGAGGGCAGAGGGAAGGGGGGAGAGGCCAGGTCATGTGGGAAGAGACCTCCACCATCTTAAGAGGCAGAAAAAGCAGAAGGAGAATATCAGAAAGGGTCAAGTTGAGCAACAGGACGTCTATGGGGGTCGGCTTGCGGCGCAGTTTCACCAGAAACGTGTAGAAGGCCAGGAGGTTGGATGGAATGCCGATCAGGAAGGTAAAGATGAACACAGCAAGGACAGAGGTCTCCGAGGCCATCGTCTCAGCTTCTGCAAGGGAAATAAAGGATTGTTAGCTATGAGAACAAGGCAGGTGATTTCTTTCCTTCATCTTACCGGAGGATTTGCAGTGAAGAATTCACTTGTGGTCCTCTCCTGATTACTTAGTAAAGGTTGATGAGACATGACATACTCTGGTGGTTTTCACACTTCCTGCATTGGTCAGTTTCCAACAGGTTGTCTGCCACTGAACCCACAGGTGTTTCAAAGGGTGGTGGTTGATGTCCTTGGGCATTTGTTTCATGAGGAATACTGGTGAGGCTTGGGTAATACCCAGTTGTCACCCAAACAAAGGGCAACCTAGAACACGGTCCATGGATTCTTGCATCTTTGCATTGCAAGGAGAGTTGTACTGTATAATCAAGCTGTCTTTCAACCAACAGGTTGTCTGCCACTGAACCCACAGGTGTTTCAAAGGGTGCTGGTTGATGGGCATTTGTTTCATGAGGAATACTGGTGAGGCTTGGGTAATACCCAGCTGTCACCCAAACAAAGGGCAACCTAGAACACGGTCCATGGATTCTTGCATCTTTGCATTGCAAGGGGAGTTGTACTGTATAATCAAGCTGTATTTCAACCAACAGGTTGTCTGCCACTGAACCCACAGGTGTTTCAAAGGGTGCTGGTTGATGGGCATTTGTTTCATGAGGAATACTGGTGAGGCTTGGGTAATACCCAGTTGTCACCCAAACAAAGGGCAACCTAGAACACGGTCCATGGATTCTTGCATCTTTGCATTGCAAGGGGAGTTGTACTGTATAATCAAGCTGTCTTTCAGGATCTTCTCCTTCCCAAACCACTGTCTAGCAGTCACTGGAATAGCAGCCCTCAAAAACACAAGCATACACTGGGACAGATGCAGAGCATCGAATAATGCGGATGCACACTTTGTAGCTGAAACCGAAGCGAGCATCGGGGAATGAGTCACTCCAACAACATGAGTTCTCCCCCCAGTTTGATGCAGAGCTTGCTCCTGATGACATTTGCGGATTGCCTCTTTTGGTCTAGCCTCAGAACTCTGATCTTCTTTCAGTTTTCATAAGTGTCATTTTTGTCTTTTCGAATTGCGGCCTCCCCCGTTCCCCATGCAGTAAAACTGAAATGAAGCTGGCTAGGTAGACATTCTCTAGCATTTCCCCAGCATTTGTTTTCTCATTCTAATCTGCTCCTGCAAGCATTCAAGACAAGATTTATTTATTTGTGTTCCTAAGGGCAGGGAGGGGCAGGTGAAGGAGTAACGCAACAAAATACAAAGAGAATCGGCTTGGAGTAAAGCAGGCCACAGCTTTATGGATTTCAGCAGAGGGAGTTCTGGTGCAGCACAGGGTTTGGATCCATGCATTGGGTGACCTGCCTGTCGGCCAGTGAACTCATCCCCAGCCCACTTGTTGGGGAATCCTGGAGCTGGTGGTCCCAGAAAGAGGCACATGCCTATGGGTGGAACCCCTTGACACCCGGGAGTGCAGCTGGGCAACTGCCTCTAAGCCAGGCATGTTGCTATAAGGCTCGACCCCAAGACCTTTTAAGAGGGTCCATAGCCAGGGAGATGGGGAGGCAGGCACAGCCTCCCCCCCAAATGGATTCGGCTCAATGTGTGAAACCACCATAAAGCAGGGACAGGAAGAGAATAACAAGAAAATTAACCAGAAAAACATGCTAAGGGGGGGGGAGGGAGGGGTTCCTGAAGAGGACTGTGTGGGCTACACTGCCGATGGGGCTTTAATTAGGGTAGTAAAGGGCCAGGCCAAAGCTGACGCTTTCCCAGGCCCACCTCTGCCAGCCCCTACTGAGATATATGTCAGAGTGATAGAGGTAGCAAGCAGTTACTATAGATCAGTTTGATCTGTTTGTCAGACATAGCTGTCATGCTAATAATCATGTAATTACAGCCAGGTGTTTCTAGCAGGTGGTGCTCTTTCAGGTCTTGTTAGAGTTAGTGATTACATCACCTTGTTAGAGATTGGCTGGGGATTAGCATAATAGCTATCAGTTTAGTAAGCTGGAGGGGACTCAGTTCTCATAGACTACGGCACGACGTGCTGTTCAATAGCCTGTAAATATCTCTGTATATATTCACCTTTACAACTATATAAACTCTCTGTGCACCTTCATAACTGGTCAGTCTCCCACTTCTTATTTACAATACTTAATAGCCTCCACCTCGCAGAAACCAACATGGCCAGCAATTGGCTGGCTGTTGGGAGATAGCAGGCCCACCCAGAAGCTCCGTGGCCACCGTGGCCAGGATCCGCCACCCATACCATGGCGGCCATGTGGCCCCCTTCTTCCTGGATGTCTTCCCAGTCCTGTGGCCACAAAGCAGCCACTGGTAAGTCAGTAGGCACAAATTATTTATTTTCGTAATGGATGGTAAGCCGAATTCCCTACTCCTTAACCCAAAAGCACACAATAAATCTAAAATATATTTGCCAAATGGTACAATCCAGAAAAGATAAAGTGTGTGGAACCTAAGTGTGGCCTTTCCACCCCTTGTGCAGTAAAGCTGCAATGAATCGGGGCAGATGGGAAGTGTCCAGCATTTGTCTTCCCATTCTAAGTTGCTCGGGTAAACATTGAAGACACACAAAACTGTATATATATTTTTAAAATGTGAAGGACACAGTCCCCAAAATGTAAAGCGCTTTGAAGCTGCCTCGAGTACGTTTACTGGAGAGGTGGCTTTGAAATGTCTAAATAAAGAGAGACAGACCTGTTTATTTCAGTGGGGGATGTATTCTGTATCTCTCCCAGGGTCACAAAGTCATGCAGACATGCTAAGAATTGTCTGAATCTTGCTCCAAACTACTGATTTAGAGGGGTATTCATATGATGGCCCCCCATTTTATGTCCATTTAACCCTTCATGTTCTTCCTTTATATCCTGCCTTTCTTCCTAAGAAGACCCAAAGCAGCTTATATTATTCTCGCCTCTGTTTTATCCTCAAAACAACAACCCTGCAAGGTGGGTTAGACTGAGTGAGTGTGACTGGCCTAAGGTCACCCAGCAAGCTTCCATGGCAGAGTGGGGATTTCAATCTGAGTGTCCCGGATCGTACTCCAATACTCCAGCCACAATATTACGCTGGCTGACTTGTTGTAGGCTTGGCTGATAGACAAGCCAGTGTTGTTCAGTGAACTTCATGTCTGAACAAAGATTTGAACTCAGGACATTCTGGTTCTCCTTGTAGCAGAATAACATTCTATGGGTCTTTGGAAATTATGGCAACTAACACTAGTTCAGTTTCAGTTAGCAGTCATTTGGGCTTTTGTTGGCAATTTAGTTGAGTGTTTTGTGAGAGTTTTGTACCTTGCTTCAGCAGACGCAAAGGAAGTCACTGCCCTGCTTGTTTTAGGGTCCAAACTCAAATGTTTATCCTTGTAATCCAATTTCCCCTCATCGTTTCTAGTTCTTGGCATCACAGGATTATATAGATTCAATTTGCTACAAGATTGCCTTGAAATTCACCAAGAAGAGTGAAGACCAAAGTTCCCTCTAAGCTTTGGAGTCCTGTGAGCAAAAATTCAACTTTGTGAGCTACTGGCATTCAAGTTGTGTGCGAGCCATTTGGCTCCTGCATCAATTAGTTTGCCCTGGAGCCGTCCTTCCTGAGCCAAGAGAAAAATGTGTGAGCTGGAGGCTAAAAAACTGTGCACTAGCTCACACTAACTCAGCTTAGAGGGAACACTGGTGAAGACTGAACTTGTTTGAAAAGATCCTCCCATACAGTCAAATTTCAAAAGCGAAATCTGAAAAAAAGCTCTGAAATTCTCCCTTTCAGTGGTTAACATTTCATTTGAACTAAACCTTATATGACACTGAAGTGAAAGAATAAAACTCTTCCCAAGAGCATCCAATCAAACATTTTGGAAACTCTTCCCCTTCCCCTTTATTGGAGAATGGCGAAGCTGATGTTGACTCTGTTTTTAAATAGGTCACTGCACACATTTTGTGGGGAAAAAATTAAGGAATATTCCTTCCAGAAGCAATTTGTAATCTTACCTGTGTTCTAGAGTGTTCGCTTTCCACTTGGTCGCTAAGAAGGGGAAGAACCACAGCCTTCTACAGATGATACAGTGAATAATCCTCACAGGGCCAGATTAAGACATGCTGAGGGACAAGGCTACACCATGTCTATGAGACCCACAGAATTCACCTCACAAATGGTAATTTAGTTTTTTTTTAAATTTAAATTTAAAGACACCCCCCCAATAATCTGAAGCCCTAAACTGTAGGTTACTTGAATCCAGTTCTGAGTCTATGTTGTAGCTTCTAAAAATATGTCTGTTGACAGACACATTCACATACACAGACACATACTGCAAAAACTGTGAAGGTTCTGGTCAATACAGGAAGGGCGGTAGGTTTCTATGACATTTCAAAGGCAGCAGGAAGCCTTGTTCCAGAACAGAAAAGGGAACAAGGTAAATAATAATAATAATCAAAATTCAATGAACTCCCTATGGTTCTCTTTTCCAGAAACTGACAATAGGAAGTCCACCTGTAACAAGAACTTGTGGACACTCAAATGAAATTGCTGAGTGGTTGGGTTAGGATGGATAAAAGGAAGTACTTCTTCACCCAAAGAGTGATTAACACATGGAATTCACTGCCACAGGAAGTGGTGGCCGCTACAAGCATGGACAGCTTCAAAAGGGAATTAGATAAACACAAGAAAGAAGACCCGCGAAACTCGCGGGGGGCGGGGCGGGGGAGCTTCAAACTGAGCTGACGGAGGAGGAACCAGCAGGAGCAGGTAAGCTCTCCCGCCCCCCATCCTGCCGGTTCCTCCGTGTCCTCCACCACCACCCCTCTCCTCCCCCCCAAGCGAGGGCCAGCGGCTTGCAGCCGCCCGGGACTCGCAGCCACCCGCAGCCGCCCTCGCCCCAGACGGCTGGCTGGCTCTGAGGCGGCGGTGGCGGCGAGCCCGGCTGCTCCCCCCCTCCCAAGCGAGGCCAGCTGCTCCCCCGCCCCGGCCGGCCGGCTTCCCCCCTCCCAAGCGAGGACGGCGGCGAGGATGGCTGGTCCCCCCCGCTCTCGCCCTGGCTGGCTGGCTTCGAGGCAGCGGCAAGCCCGGCTGTCCCCCCCCTCTCCCAAGCGAGGCCAGCGGCAAGGCCGGCTGCTCCCCCCTGCCCTCGCCCCGGCCGGCTGGCTCCGAGGCGGCGGCGGCGAGGCCGGCTGCTTCCCCCTCCTAAGCGAGGCCGGCGGCGAGGCCGGCTGTTCCCCCCCTCGGCCGCCCTCGGCCCAGCTGGCTCCAAGGCGGCGGCGGCGGCGCTGGCGGCAGAGCATTTCCTGTGCATGCGCAGGAAACGCTCTGTCAGTTTTGGGGGAATTTAATATCCCCCCGATATTTTGGGTTTTTTTTCCGATTTTGTGCACACGTGGGGACCGCCCCACGTGTGCACAAACCTCTCCCTGCCCCCCAGGTGGCCCCAGAGCGCGGATTTAGATATCCGCATGCACGGGGCCACTTGGGTATTAGATATATAGATATGGAGCAGAGGTCCATCAGTGGCTATTAGCCACAAGGTATAGATAGGGACTCTGGGGCAAGTGATGCTCTGTCATCTTGGTGCTTGGGGGGGTCAACAGTGGGAGGGCTTCTAGTGTCCTGGCCCCACTGGTGGACCTCCTGATGGCACCTGGTATTTTTGGCCACTGTGTGACAGAGTGTTTGTTGGGGACATGTGTTATATTTGCTTTTATATATGTTTGTGGTTGCTGACACACATGCATGCACTTGGACTGTGATTATGAATCTCTATGTGCTGGAGAAAGCTGCTTGCCTTGAATGCTGTGACTGCATCACCTGAAAGACTCCCTGCCTGCTGTTTATGCAAATGGAGCTTTGCACTCACACAGCTCAGCCTGGAGAAGAAGATGCTTCGCCATTGCTTGTAGCACAAAATGACAACTTTCATGCCTGTAACCACCACTGGTGAACTTTTGGTCAACACGTACCCCTGCTATCTGGTTTGCATCAGAAAGGACAGTTTCCGGTTGAGGACTACTTTATGGCCCGGGACAGAGCTAGATCCATCTGCACTTCAATGGTTACCTTGGTACCCAAACTTCACACCTTGAACAGATGCCCTCCTTGAGTTAGGGGTTAGATTTCAACATTGCCCACTCCCTCTAGGTAAGACACGTCATTCCATATAGCCAATAGTCAGAAGTCATTTCGGAGGGGGGGAATGCGGGCGAACGCAGTTCCCCCGGGTGAGGTACGTGGGGGCGGGGCACATGACGAATCCCCGCCCCCTGCTTCCGGCCGCCCCGCTTCCGGCCCTCATTCAGCCCTCATTCAGCCAGGAGAAGGCAGGAGAAGAGTTGCTTCCTCCCTGCCTCTCCCCACCCCTGCCTCCCTGGGGCCAGGGAGGGCCTTCGCGGGGCTTCCTTGCACTCCCACCAGCCTTGCAGGTCCACCGCCGGGCCCCTCATGGGGCTCGGCAGTGGAGCTGCAAGGCCGGTGGTGGCGGCCAGGACCATTGGGGGTGGGGTGTGTGGCCTTATGACATATTTCCAGTGATGTCAGGGGGTGTGGCCTTATGACACACTTCCGGTGATGTCAGGGGGTGTGGCATATGCTAATGATTTATGCTAATGAGTTCCCCTAGCTCTTTTTCTATGAAATGACCCCTGCCAATAGTATAGAGTCTTGGGACAGACTATCCAAGTAGGTGGAACCTGAAGGATGGCACAGATGCCAGCCCCCAAGGATCCCCTATAAAAAGTGGTGTTCAGCATCCTGAACCCCGCTAGCCATCTTCTTCCCTTAGCTATTAACTTACATCTTCGTTACTCCAGCAATCCTTTGTTTTCCTCCTTGACCTCGTGGACTGCAGCCAAGAGGTCCACACGTGTTTGGCTGGTTCCAACCATGTGCATTAGAGTACTTATAGTCATCCTGTTTACTTCACCTATTCTTCGTGGGGAAGATCAAGCCTCTGATCAGATAAGTATTTTGCTACTCCCTTCCCCATTCAATTAGTGTAAAAGTGACTATTTGCTATTTCTGTAATACTGAGGATCCTGTGTGGTTGTGTGTGAGAATCTGTTTTTCGTATGTATGTGAATTAGACGTTAGGAAATAAAAGGAACCAATTGCTTTCAACATATTAGTCTCGTCTCCTTTCATAACTGGACGTTCCTCAGGGGGCAATTTGACTCCTGTATACATTGATCAGCACCACCAAAAATTATAGTCTATAAGGCCTCTGTCGTAGATAAGGCAGTTCGGCTAACAGGTTGGACTGGATGGGCCTTTGGCCTGATCCAACATTGGCGTCCCTTATGTTCTTATGTTCACAGCTCCTAACCACTACACTAGTGCATAAATATGATTAGAAATTGCTTCTGGGATTAATTAATACCATATATATATATATATATATATATATATATA